GTCTTGAATGAAATTGTCCTTTTTTGAGTTGCTCATTTTGTTGACTGTGAACCGAAAGTAGATATAATTTAATGATTTTATTTTTTAAATACAGTTTACTAGTATGCATTTTAACTTGTGCAGTTTTCCTATATATACATTTGAATTGTGGGAATTTAATACTGCCTCAACAAATTTTACTATTTTTATGAAAGTTTAATAAAATCTCAATTCAAAATTTCAATTAATGTGTTTTATTTTTTAATAAAATTTATTTTAAAAATTCAATTATCTTTGAACAATAGGTTTAAAATTTCTTTGACTTTTCCCTATTGATGCACTTGAATAGCCTAAAACTGACTGTTTACACACACTGACTGTTTTAAACACTTGATAATTTATCAATACTGAAACAGAAAAACTTTTTGATTTTCTATCTTTTTTGCATTAAAATATAACTTACACTATGGCATTGCCAATTGTCAAAATAAAATATTGGCAATACTCAGAACATCTTGTATAAGTTAGCTGAGGTAAAAATATTGACGTCGTACTTGTATTTTCAAGTTTGTAAATTTAGCTGAAACATCAACTGTTTACATTTACCCCAAATGACCATAATTGAAATTAAATAAAAAAAATGAGTTTTAAAAACTGACAATAATTGATATTAAATTGAAATTAGGATTTAAAAATATTACATCTGACTTTATTGACATTATTTATCAAATATTGCAGATTGTATACGACCTATGTAATTATTTAATCAACACTCTTTTTTATTCTAAATGTTTGAACAAATTTAATAAATTTAAAACTGAAAGTAAATGAATTTAATTTTCTTTATTCCTAATTACAAATTAATTTATATATTTTTTGTCTTGTTTTGATAAAATATGCAAATTATTGTGACTCTCTACAATTTATTTTTAAATAAACAGAATTATTTAGATTTTGAATATTTTTTCAAAAATTAAAAGTTTGCAGAATTTCTAATAAAATTCATTCAAAATTGAAATTTTACAAAATTTAAAATCTTTTCAAGTTTATCTATAGATATTTATGAAAATTGTAAACAAAAATATTTTAAAATTCAATTAATTTAATAATAATAATATTTTAATTATTTGAATGTTAATTAATTATTATTCTAGAGGTCTGCATTATGCGTTTGAATGAACCAAATTTATCAAATTCTTTACAATATCTACATTACTTGAATAATTAACTTAGAAAAAACTAAAAAACTTGACAAACTTGATAATCTAAATTAGATATACATGTTATAACATTGAATTTAAATTTTATGATTACACTTTGAAAAAGATTTCAGAAAAAGAAAAAGTTGTTTATTTTTGATAAGAAAAAGATGAAAAAGAGGATATATTTGAAATAAGAGGACGAAAGGGGAAAAGGGGACAATATTTTGGCGCTGCATGTTTATATATTTCCGCACGATTTAGAATTTCTCCGAAAAAGGAGAACGATTTTTATTTGTCCGACGCCCAATAACATTTTCAAAACATAATAAAATTCTACCCAGAAATTCAATTATATTAAAAAATTTTAAGAAATTCTCGTCAAAATTTCTATTCTCTTTTTAAATAATAAAATTCTTCTTCGAAATTCAAGTATTTTAAAAATTTTTAATAAAATTCTCGGCAAAATTTCATTTACAAAAATTTTCCTAAATTCAATGATATTCAATATCTACTACAATTTTAATAAAATTTTCCAAAAGAATACAATTTTAATAAAATTTTTTTTAAAAACAATTTTAATAATATTCTACGCAAACGTTGAATTATTTATATATACCAATGGATTCGTCTTGATGCAAAGAATAAGATTTTAATATATATTAACTTCAATAACCAACTCAAAGAAATTTTTTTGAACAAAATTTTTTTTTTATAAAAGTTAAACAAAAAATTTTTTCTGAGAATTTTTTAAATTCTATCAATCTATTTCGAGATACTTTTATGATAAATATACCTGGTAAACTTCAGCCAAATTCGTTAAACCTCTTCTTCGATGTTCACAAAAATCGGGATCCACACACACACAATTTAAAAAAAAGAAAAAACCGGCACTTTCCGATCCAACACGCCCGTCAAATTGAAAACACTATTGTTCACTTGAAGCAAAAATGTTTAAAATTGCTAAAAACATAAACTAAAATTATACTGCAACCACAATACACATAACCGCAATTAACACTCGTATAAAAAAAACTTCAAGCTTAAAAAACACACTTTTAAAAAACGATACTCTTGTATATTATTCTTTTAAAGAGAATATTTAAAACCCGTTTACGCGACCATTCGCGAGCGCGGCTAAAACAAGACTGAACCTGCAAACTCGCTGTCTCTCACCGCGCGGGTCTATTGCAGAGTGAGTGGTATGGAAGGAGTGGGGATGAATTCATGTACGGTTGTAAGGAGAGAGGCTGACCCAAGGCGCACCAATAACATTTCCAACCGTATCTCTCTCTCTTGCGCGCGATTCAAAATATGGAAACATTAAAGGACATAAATCTCTGGAACAATCAACTTTTTAATAAGAAACCATTTTTTAGTTTGTTTCGAACACATTATTGAAACTCTCTCTCCATATATTTTATGAACAACAGTGGCGGATCGAGACAAGGTTTTTTTTGGGGGGGGGGCCATCCATTCAAAAAAATCTATATAATGTTATCTCTTTCTATCGCAGAGGAATATTTGACTGACTCTTGGGGGCCAAGCACGCGTGCCCCCCCCCTGAATCCGCCACTGATGAACCAAGCTTCAAATTCTACAAGTGATAAGCTATAAAACGATGAATCGCCTTCGAAAAGTAGTACATTATTTAATGTTGCGAATTATTTCTAACCTGTCTAAAAATATTCAACAGGTGGTTTGTTTTTAGAATAGAAAACAGTTAAAAGTAATTACCTGAGGCGTTATTGGGATCAGAAATCACGTAAAACTGACCCACCCCTTGGCCTTTTTGTGGCAACCATCTTGGATATTTATCTCTTTCTTGAACGTATGTTAGAGAGAGACGAAACGAAAAGATGGCTACCACAACAAGGCTCTCACTAGATGGCGTATCGTAGTATTTCAGATCCCAATAATTAATAATATTATTAAAAGTAAAAGTACTAAAATAAATTCCCAAGATTATTATTACTTGTCAAAATCTTTTCAACCAAAGCATGCACTGCAAAAAATGGCATCTAAGAATAAGACGTTTAGACGTTTATATACTTCAAAAAAGACGCTTATTTGAGTGTCTAAAAAGTGCGACCACGTAAACGTCTTAAACCAAGACGCTCTTTTTTTATACAGTGTGAACTGCGGGACAATATTAACATTATAGATATTTTTCGTTTCATTTCATTGTGGACGCATTTAGGTCTCTTGCAAAATTAAATTGGTGGAATTTTGGCAGCAATAGAATTTTAAATGATATATTTAGTATAACTTTAATCAATTTAATTTCAATTTGAATAAATTATTATTAAATTATAGTCAAAGTTTAATTTTTAATTTAACCAAATAATTGCAGAATATGTGAGAATTTTCTCGTAAAATTTAATTCTTTTGAATACCGTTCTAATATTTTAAGCGGAAAAAAAAATTTGTCGGTTCAAAGATTTGAACCCTCAAGTTTTTCACTGTCGGAAACAAACAGCTTGTCCGCTCAGCTGTTTAAACTGTACATATATCTACCGAATTTTAAAAGCACTTGACTCAAAGTGTTGCAAATTTTAAAGGAATTAAAAAATTACAAAATATTAAAACGGAATAGACAAAAATAAAACTTACAGAATAGTATTTTGGAATTTACAAAAATTCAAAAATTAAAGAAATATTGAAACGGAATTGATTGGAATTTACTTTCAAGAAATCCTTGCCTCAAACATGGGAATACATATAGGAATTGGACAGAAACGGAATTCAAAAAAATTGATAATTTAACATTTTGTGTAAAAAGTTAAAAATATTCAATTTTTCTCAATTCCTGACTTCTTACTGGGTAGTTACGAACGATATTTTTCATAACAAGGTGCAAAAAAGTGCCCTTTTTAGCACCGCGTTATGAAAACTTTAATATATGTATCAATTTAACACTATAACTTTTTCATTTTAGTTTTTCTGATGTATTAATATTATATTTTTATAAATTGGTTTATTAATTTTATGTTTAAAATTATTGAAAATTTATCTAGAGAATATAAATAATTTGTACAATGTAGAATAAATTGTATTATTAAAACTAATAATATTAGCCAGATGTAGTAGGTAGTATAATTGCATATCCATATAATAGCAATTAAAATTAGCTGCGATTGCTAAGAATTAGTTGCATTAGCCAACTTTTTTTCTCCGCGTGTAAAGACATGAAATTGGAAAATTTTAAAATGGTTGAAACTTTAGAAAATGAGTAATTTTGCTTAAAAGAAATTTGATGTGAATGTATAATTTTTGTTTTGCTTGGACTTTTCGTCCATATAGGATTGAGATTTCTATAGGCCATAAAGTTATTGCTTTTGAAACAATGAAAAATTTGTCATTATTTTTGTATCTTATAAACTAATGCTTTTTACAGTGTAGGTTACTTTTTAATAATATTTCACAATGCGATGCTTATTTAATTGTAATAGTTTTCAAGTATTTAATTGTTTCATTGTTAATCTAAATTATTTAATAATTTAATTAAGAGAGTAAATTTTTAATCGTTGTAAAGGATGGTTTAATCAAAATTGCATTAAAAAGTGCTAAAATTTTATTTATAATTATTGTATAAAGCGAATCAAGTTTTTAAAAAATTGTTTTGTGTTTTGATGCTTGCATATATTATCCTTATAAAAAAAGTATTTTGAAGTTTAATGATTGAAAAGAGGTGTACGACTATTGCTTGATACACGTTTTGAAGCATCGAGTTTGCGCAATATAAATAGGTAAAAAGATTCGGCGCAATCGTATGCTTAGAAAGAGGGTCGAACGAGCAACAGGGAGGATTGTTCAGCTGCTGCTGCTCCTGTTGCTGCTGTTTCTGCTGCTACTTCTTCTATAGTTACTGTGTGTGTGTGTTTTATTGACACAAGTCTGTCAGAGATTGTGATGAGTAATTTAAAGCACAAGTATGTTTTATATTATATTTATTTATTGGTATATGCTTTTAATGTTTTATACATTTGTAATTATTTATATTTGTTTATTAGTTTTCATCAATATAAATATTTACTTGATTTTACATTTTTGTTGCACAAAATGTTCATGTTTTAAATCAGTAGTCTTGTGGTCACGTATGTTTACATTATTTTGTCTTTTTGGAATTTTTTATTTGGAAATTTGGGATTAAAATTTTACATGTGCTGCCTTTTTTGTGAGAAAAATATTTTATATATTTATACAAAGTTACTACTAACCATGAATTATCAAGTAATTAATAGTTTTAGCAGCATTTAAAGCATTTGTGTGTTTCAATAATATAATGAGATGACAGAATGCATATATAGGGCAGAATTAAATTTCTACTTTTTAAAAATGTTGGTCAACAGGTGGGTAAAGTGTTATCTCTCTCCCTTTTTCTCTCTTTACTTGCGCGACTATTGAACGAATATATAGTATCTTTTTAAGTGGTCGAATGTTTATATTTTTAAAATATGAAGCAGTAAACTATTTATTATTATAAATGCAATAACTGATAATTATACTTTCTTGTATAATTCAAGTTTTTAGCAAATATTATTATTTACGTGTATTATGTTTTTATAAAAATTCGTATAAAGAGATTCACTTGCATTTTTGTATAATAATTGAAAATAATTCAACACGGTAGTATTTTTCTCTATATATAGGTAATTTAATAAAATTCAAAATTGTTTTTAAAATGCAGTACAATTTTACTGCACAATAATGACAAAATATAAGCATTATATAACATGCGAGAATCTTTGGAATGAGATTTTATTGTATCAACTTGGCATGAACAATGTTTGATCAAGTTTGATAACTATATATATATATATAGTTGATTTTGTTGAAAACTGATGTTATAAAAAAGCTACAATATTTTCAAGGTATTCAATGATATTCAATGAGTAAGTTTAAAAATGATTTTTTTATAGGAGAAAAGGCTGTTGCAAAATTGCAATTTTAATGTTGGGTTTGTTTACCTAACTATTCGTTTGACCTTTAAAATTAATGTAATGTTGCAAATATGAAAAGTTGAAAAGTATGAATGTCACATCTAGTCTTTTAATTTTCTCATAACAAGGGCGCGAAATGGATGATTGCGGAAAAAGAGTCAATCACCGCATATACTTTGCGCTCATGTTGCGAAAATAATTTTACATAGAATATTGTATATATTAAAAATGGTGGTAATTTTAGAAATTATAAAAAGAGGTACAAAATCTACAACTGTAGTATATATATACGCGGTGATATGGTTTTGTTGATACTCTTTTTTGTTGATAATCTAATAGTTACATAAAGAAAAAGTGTAAAAATGATCATTTTTATGGGAATGTAGGCTGATGAAAAATTGCAATTTCAGTGTTTGGTTTATTTACATTTTCACAACTTGGGCTAACCTATATACTATATTTCGCAATATTATTAAAAACGTTTTATATAATTTTATTAAACATTACGATATTCATTTTGAACAGTTGGAGATTAGCAAAGTCATGAATGTAGCTGAATCTACGTGTCATTTGGTGTGCAAGAAATTTAGGAAAATTACTAAATAGCGTTTCTTTAAAAGTTTGTGGCGAGGATTTTCTTCATGTCATCATGCTCAGCCCCAAAATGCAAAGGACTGGTATGGACAAATGTAATTTTAATTAATTAATTTAGAATAAATTATAAACTAGTAAGAGTTTTTAATAAATTTTCGCATTATCCTTTTATTTTTTAAAATAGCGAAATTTAATCCAAGTAGCACACGTAATATTAATGACAGTCATATTGAAATGTCCGCCTGATGATAATATTACCTGCATTAATATTACTGTAGTATATTGCCCGTTAATATTGTACTGTAACATTACACGGTAATATTACTGTATAACATTGACGCGTAACATTACTGTAATATTAATGCAGGTAATATATTGCAGTAATATTGATGCAGGTAATATTACCATCAGGCGGACATTTTAATATTAATTACTGTAATATTACGTACGCTACACTTTTTATTTTTTTACTTTTATAAAACTTGTATGTGTTTAGTAAATACACACTACTAAATTGTGTTGATCATGTTTTTAAATTTTTGAATTGGAAAAACTTTTTTATGCATTTTAATAATTAAGAATAATAATAATGATTTCATGTATTATTCTGATGAAAAGAAATTAAATGTTGATAAATTTATATTATTTAAACTTTGAATGAAAATGTTTAATATTTCTTGCACACAGTACGTGTTAACGAATCCCAGCTGTTGATGTTGTCGGAAAAAGCTCGTTATGACCACTCAATTTCTGGCTACCTGCATAAACGTACGTCAGACTCTACAAAATGGCAAAGCCGATGGTTTGTTCTTTATCAAGTAAGTAATAATAATAATAATCATGATGATTAACATGTCGAAATATGGGAGTTGCCCAAAGATTATGTGCGTTTTATCCAAAAACGCATGTAAATTTCTTTGTTTATATAACATGCAATTGATGTAAAATTTAAAGTTTTTTGATTAATTTTCTATAGTTTTCCATTATTAAATATTGATTAATAATAATATTATACGTAAATTACAATTAAAAACAATGAAAAATTAACATTTGTTGTTTTATAATATATTGAAGATTTTTTTTATTTTTGGTATTAATCATATTTAGTTGTACACACATTTCATTTCATTTTGTTTTAATTATTCTTGTTTTGAAAATTGGAATTTTTTTCACTAATTTAGAAAACATTTTTGCGTTTAGATTAAATTAATAATTTCATTTATTTTACAGAATGTACTTTTTTATTATGAAAATGAATCATATTCGCGTCCTAGTGGTATTATTTTGTTGGAAGGTTGTTACTGTGAGCGAATTATAGCCTCTAAAAGCAAGGAGCTAGATAAACAGGTGAGAGTGATGTGTAAAAAAGTTTTTAAATTTTATTTCTAATGTTTCGCAGAGTTGTAGATTTACAAAAGGTATTTTTATTAAAACTAAAAATTTTGTCTCTTTTATAGTTTACAATAATAAGAATGCAAAACAATCAATTTATTTTATGAAAATTTCGCTATTCGCAACAAGAATGTGGATGATTGATTATATATAATACCATATCATTAGCATTACAAAATTAATTGTTGTTAATAATAATACCTTTTGTAAATGTGTAAATTTTCACATGATTAGATTCGAATTAAATTCGAAAAAATGAAATTGTGCTAAAAGAATTTTTTTTAATAAATGAAATTAAAATCATTTAAAAATTTCAACTAATGATTTCTAGAGATTATAATAATGCGTTTTGCAAAAAATTATTGATTTATTATTATATACATTTTTTTTTCATTGCAGCATTGTTTTGCCATCTCTTATAGACGAGAAAACTTGAGACAATACGAGTTGAAAGCTTTAACTGAAACAAGTTGCAAAATGTGGATAGAAGCAATTTGCGAAGCCAGGTATTTTTAAGTATTTTAATTTTTGAAATTGAAAGATTAAATTATTTTACGACATGTACATACACATTCCCCTTTAGTGAGAAATGCTTACAGGATTTTTTTTCTCTGTTGATTGTTGCAGTTTTAATAAAGTTTTATTACAAAAAGAAGAACTTGAACAGAAACATTTACATTTGTTACAAATAGTGGAAACTGAAAAAACAGCAAAATGGCAATATACTCAACAATGTGAGGATTTAGCATCTGAAATTAAGAAACTTCGTGCAGAGGTTTGTTTTTTTCAATTTTTTACGTTTTTAGTTTCAAAACATTGTTTTATGATTGCGACTTGATTGCGTTGGGGGGTTAGTGCAACAATAACATTATCGTAACCGAGACAATTTACAGTATTTGGCGCAAGCATATAATGCATATTGTTTCAACCAAATATAATTTTACTTGTCTAAATTATCAAAAAAAACATTGCCTAAAGAATTTTTTTTTTGCTTGAATCAAATTGTTTTTGTTTTACTTTTTTTTACTTGAGATAGAAACGGCAAATGTTGTTCTTGATCCAAGAAAATGTGTAATTTCTCTTGAAATAATTATGAAATTTTTGAAATAAAAGAGTTTTTGAAAACTGTACATTATTGGATATTGTTAATATATAGTGATGGTAGCATAGCGTGAACGTTTGTGCTTAACCCTTGTTCTTACATTTTGATCAATTTCTTGGTCAAATTACACATTTTCTTGGATCAATATTTTTTATATTTCAACATCAATACAATACTCTATTCTTATTATACTGACGCGAGAAATTTTTCAGCTATGTGCTCTTAAAAAAGAATTGAGACCCAGTTCGGTTAGTATGGGTAGTGCAGCAGTAGCAGCATCTTTTACGGGATACGGCATGAGGCGACATTCTATCCAGAAAAATTTTTCACAATGCATTTGTAATTGCAACAATAATAATAACAACACAAGAGCTGCTTCTGCAACAACAGCCACAACAACACAGGTTTCATCCTTACTCTCAGCCAACTCTGAGTTTGAATGTGGTAATAATAGCAGTACTAATGGTGGTGGTGGTGTCAGTCGGCACTGTTTTAAAGAAATTAGCGAAGGCTCTATCGAAATGCAGAAAATTAAAAAAGTACAAAGTTTTTTTCGTGGATGGTTATGTAGACGGCGTTGGAAACAAATAGTAGAACAATACATTAAAAGCCCGCATGCAGAAAGTATGAGAAAAAGAAACAGGTAATCATCATAAATATATATTTAAAACTTGAGATATTTTGCCTCTCCCAATGTTGTGTCACTATATAAAAGGTTTTAATTTTATAGCTTTACATGTTTGCGACTACTTTTTACTTTTGAAAAAATATGAAATATTTCAATGATTTGCGCGCGCGACATCACACAATCAATTAATATTAAAATAATCATGATTTTAAATTTTCAGTCTAGTTTTTCAAATGGTAGAAGCTGAAGAAGAATATACAGAGCAAATGGAAATACTTGTTAGTTGTTTCTTGAGGCCTTTTAAAATGGCAGCGAGTTCAAAGAAGCCTCCATGTAGTCATGAGGATGTCAACAGCATTTTTTTAAATAGTGAAACCGTTTTGTTCTTGCATCAAATTTTTTTAAAAGGTCTTACTTCTCGCATGGAGAGTTGGCCAACTCTCGTTTTGGGCAAGTTTTTATTACAACAACAATGAATTTGAATTTTCATGTTTTCACACTCGTTCAATTAAATGACCCTGTATTTTTATTTGTTTATTAGGTGACTTGTTCGATATGCTTCTTCCAATGTTATCAATATATCAGGAATATGTTCGAAACCATCATTATAGTCTTCAAGTGTTGACAGAATGTAAACAATCGTCATCGTCATTTGCAGCATTATTAAATCGACTGGAAAAGAAATCTGCATGTCACGGAAGGTCTCTTGTAACTTTTTTAACCTACCCTATGAATCAGGTAATAACATTTTTAATTTTACATGAAAAATTATTGCATTTTTTTGTATTTATTCGCTAAAGATAATGATACGAATCAACAATGTATAGTAGGATATAACGTGTTGACACTGTGAGAAAAGGAAAAAAAATGTTTTACACAAAATACTACTCTTGTTCAATAATATTGTTTCTTTTTTAAAACACAAAGATTTTTTTAATGTTTTTTGCATTTAACCTTGTATTTTTTTCGTTCAAAATTTTTAAATTACAATCCTATATTACAATATTTAAAAAAATTTTAAAAGTGGATTACAAATTACAAAAGAAACAAAAACAATAAAGAAATATTAAACTTATGTAAAAAGTTGAAATACTTGATAAAAAAAAAAGTGACAAAATTTCATAAAAGAAAAAAAAATTAGTAATTTCATTGCGAAACAAATCAAGATTAAACTATATACGTAATCTGTATTCACAAAAAACACTAGATTTTAAAGCGTACTTTTTTGTTCTGGTGTGTACCTGCTGTTGTTTATTATAATCGTATTAAATTTTCTTTTTAGATTCCACGATACATAGTGACATTACATGAATTATTAGCTCATACACCACACGATCACGTTGAACGTAAAAGTTTACAAAATGCTCGTCAACAGCTAGAGCAACTTTCTAGACAAATGCACGATGAGGTAAATTTGTTGTTGTTATATTGGTTACTCAAGTATATTTTATTTTTGTATATCCTTAATAGTAAATTTCAAAATTTGTTGTTTACGAGCGTTTATGAAGCTTAGAAGAAGCGAGTGCACGGGATACACATCCAGAATATCGTTTTTTTGCGCGCATCCTTTTGAATTAAAGTCATGCGCGCAGAGTGTTTGCCACTCAAAAAAATATATTTTTCCGACTTGCAAAAATTGACAATTTCCAAATTGCAACTAAATGAAAATGGGTGTGGCAACCACACAGTGAGACCTTCGCGTACGAAAAAGACGTGTGATCTCGAAGGATTGTATCATTTAAAAAAAATAACCTGCGAGAATTTTGGTAAAAGTAATGAAAGGGTTAAATATTAATTATTAATTTAAATGAAGGAATAATAATCAAAAGTATAACATATTTAATCAGAGAGAATTACATGATTTATTTTTTGAAAGAATTGATAAAAATTATCCACATAATTTTAAAATGTAACGACACATAGTTTTATAATTAGTGATCGACAAGATTTTTATTTTAATAAAAGTTTATTCTATTGTTACTCAAAAACACGCAATTTACAGGATGCATTTTTGTCCAAATATTTTGTAGGTGAGCGAAACGGAAAATTTACGAAAAAATCTAGCTGTGGAAAGAATGATTATTGAAGGATGTGATATTTTACTAGATGTTAATCAAGTTTTTGTTAGACAAGGTAGGTAGGTGGTGACTCTATATCATAATATATAAAATAAATAATCCTTGAACATTTATCATTAAACATTTATTTATTGTTTGTTTATTTACTGAAATTCGTTTAAAAAATGAAATTTTTAGTCATTTATCAACTTTTTAAAGAAAGACCCCCAGCTTATCATGTTTGAAATTGAAGAATTTGTAACTTTTATATTTCATTAAAATTGTTTTTACATCATGTAACTTGCATTTTATCGTTTGGTTTTTATTTTCTCATTAATTAATGTTACGCAATAGCTCTCTGATTATTGTGTGTGTGTGTGTTTATTTACATTAGCGTTCACAAATGATGAATACTTTTTTATTGTATAAGTCACATTTTTAGGTGCACTGATGCAAGTACTAGAGAAAGCTAATCATCGCGGTACAAGGAGAAAGAAGAGTTCAACGTTTGGTGTAAAAAATATAAGCGACAAAGAAGCTATTAGGCAATGCTTTCTATTTTCAAATCATTTAATACTTGCAACTAGACAATCAGATGACGATGGTCGCTTAAATCTAGTTCCTCAAATTGGAAAAATTCCTTTATGTGATGCTGTTTTAATTGAAGATCCCAGTGATCAAACTGCAACAACAGATGATGATGGTCAGTATAAATGGTTTTATTTTTAACAAGATGTGTAAAGATAATGAAATAATAGAATATGAAAATAATAAATTTTTTTAGAATTATCAATTTGTTCAGTGTCAAGCGGCGGAATAAGCGAAAGTAGTGGCAGTGGTAGCGGCGGCGGTGGTTATTCTGGGCAAATACAAAATCGAGATTTTAAAATTATTCTTGATTTGAAAGCAGCTGGAGGTCAAGTAGCAGTCCATTTGGTTGCACCTACAGTGCAGGTTGAAACAATAATAATAATAATAATGATTGATTGATTGTTAAGCAGTAGCAAGATACAAGAATAAAAATGTACAACTAGAAAAAAAATTTTTTTGACAGGAGAAAGCTGCTTGGATCAGTGATATTAGTCAGTGTATGGATAATGTGCGTTTTAATGAGTTTTTACATAGTTCACTGTCTGAAACTAGTTCTGTGTCAATGCCTCGATCTATTAGAAATGATCCAAAACTTTTCAAAGATGACGTTGATATTAGATTTAGTCGCACTTTAAACTCATGTAAAGTGCCTCAAATTCGCTATGCTACACCAGATAGAATACTGCAAAGACTTACTGATCTTAGATTTTTAAGTATTGATTTTCTCAACACTTTTTTGCTTACATATAGAGTTTTTACTGATGGTGTAACTGTATTAGAGGCCTTGAAAAAAGTCTTTAATGACGCTGAACCTCCAGATGCTCCTCAAATTTACCCTAATAATAATGTCGGAACAGCTAATTTATTCTCAATTGGGTAAGAGTCATCTTATAAATGGGTATATTGATTTGTTTTTAAACAAAAATGCGCTTCAATTTATAATTTCTTTTGTTTTTTGATGACAGTAATAATCATCAGTCCCAGCAACAACAACAACAACTTTGTGAAGATGATTGTATAAAAAGTAATAATTTCAAAACACCAAGACGACAGAGTGGTGCTAGCTCCGTATCTGGTGAGTTTTTAATTTTTCTAAAAATTTATTATACAAAAGTAATATTTTTGAAATATCGCTTACTCATGGGAATCATACACTTGATGAACATCAAGAGAATACCTTCTCGTTTTTGATATGAAGGAAACTGCCGCCGCCGCATCTACTTTTGCGAATATTAAAGGAATCATATCGCAACTCTGCGGTGACGAGTTATAATTGCAACACTGTGTCCCGCATGAAACTTGCGCAAATATTTTCATAATTTTCAAGAAACTTTGCATTTAATTTCTATATAGTAAAACATAATTATTACATTAGGCTATGGATCTGAAATAAGTGAATGCGGCAAATCAGAAATGCCAAAAAGTCATGCAGGATACTTGGAGCTTTCAAGTGCAATGGACACCACTACGAATGCAGAGGGAACTAATGCAAATTCAACTTTAATTGCTTTAAAAAGTTCTCATCACTATTGTTCTGGATTTTATAAATGTAAGAGTAATAATTAACAAGTATATAGAGATATTAAGTAATATTTTTTTATTTCAATTTGCATTATTGCATTTTTGTTTAGGCTTTGCCAGATGAAAAGTTTTATTTAAATAAAATGTGAAATTTATGCAAAATTATTTATTTAGTAACATTCTTTATAATAACCAGAGTTGATTTTTCCATGTAATTATTAATAGCAAATAGTGTTTGCACAAGAAAATAATAATTTTTAACCGCAAGAGTATTTTGAGCAAATACTATATGCTATTACTACTTTAATAATAATACATTTTCAATTTTTTACACCATCACATATAGTGAAAGAAAATGAGCAAGAGTATCGTAACATTCAACAATCAATTAAAATCGACCAATCAAGAGCTCCCATTATTGATATCAGGTCAGATCAATCTTCACAGCAATCATTATCTAATAATGAGATTCAAGAAGAACCAACAATCTTTATGGACAAATTAGGCAAGTGTACAAGTACTGCTACTGATGATTTGGTATATTTAAAAATCCCCAAGGTTATAGCAGTTTCCTCTAGCGCTGAGACACTGACTGGTAAGTTTGTCTACTTTGCTATAATCGTTACGAATATGTTGATTAAAGCTCACTGTGTAAAAAAGAGTGTTTTATTAGAGCTGCAATTTCAGTATTAATAAAACATGGAAACATAAAGGACGATTTAGTACCTTTCATATTATGTATTGTGCGCGTGTATCTTCAAGTTTTATTCTTGCAGATAATACCGTTGTAAGTGCACCATCCTCTCCAAGTAATTTGAGTTCAGTTACATTAGTCGGATCTACAGGTTCTGGATCGGGTTCTGATCTAAATACACAACGAGGAGATATTGATAAAACTTGGTCACGTGGAATTTCTGACGAAACAATTACAAAAGATGCTCCTCCAATGTTGGAAATGGAAAAAGTCCAGTCAAAAGCAGGTCTAAAATTTTTGTGTAAAGATTTTAGAATCAATCAGTTAAAATTCATATTATAGAGTCTCAAATGAATACAAAAAAAAACAAGAGCTCTCTGTTAAATGTTGTAAATTGAAAATTAAAGCTGTAAAAGGAAAAACGCACAAGACTTGATCGCTGGCTGTTTTGACATTTTTATTTAATTTATATTATTAATATTATTTCCAAAAATAGAGTAATTAAGATATATTTTTATAATTTTTCAGATGAACGTATAGTTTATGAAGATTTGCCAGAGCCTCAACATGTTACAACAACAACAACAGCAATAGCATCAGGGGCGTCAACAAGAAGCGGTTCTTTTTCTACTACTTTTAGTGGAGTATGTTTTACACTAATATACAAAGGATATATTGTTGTTTTGAAACCCTAATAGGTTGTTGTAGTACAAGTTTCAGTTGTAGCAATTTTCCATTTAAAATTTTTTTTTTTTTTATTGACCGTCAAATTTATTGTCTTTTATAAATGAAAATTTGTTTTACATTTTCAAAACATTTAATTAATTTTAATTGTAATGGTTTTTAGAATTATTGGTCTGGAAGACGATCAATTCCGGAAAATGAAATTTACACTTCTTCTTCCCAACAATGCAGTGTTCAACATGATACACAGCAAGCTTCTAGTAAAGCAGGTGTTGTAATAACAAGTTTTCGTCCTGATCGTCGCAGGTGTGTCTCTCTCTCTCTAATTTTATTTATATATTTTGATTAATAGCAACTATAATCCTTACTAATCCATTGCATTTTATACTATTCAATTCAAGAAACAGTAACTCAACTGCAGCTACTGCTTTTGCTATTGCAACATCAGCATCAAGCAATCCACCAGATAGGGTTCATGAACGTCGTCACCACATTATAAATGATGGGAGCAGCAGCAGTAATCGAGTGTGTGCAGGATCATGCAAAGAGAAATCAAAACGAAAAGAATCTGTAATGTCTACTGCCGCAACAATGCGTATTTTAAATGTACTTGGACACTGGGTGTCTAAACATGCTCAAGACTTTGAATTGGATTCACAATTGAATCAATTGACGATTGAATTTTTAAAAGATATAACATACAGTTCCAATTTACTTCCGTCTGAGCACAAAGCAGCTAATCGAATTCTTAGACTATTGACTATTAAAGAAGAAATGGATGACAGTAAAATAGACTTGACTCAATTGCTTGCTCCACCTACGGTAATTGTATAGCATATATTTATATATATTTCTATTTGACAGCTATAATGGAGATTATTTTATCGCAGAAAAAAAAAACTAGACAATTTTCTGCCATTCCCTATATATATGAATAATATATGCTCGCAGATGGGATAGAAATGCTAAATTGTTTTTAAAAATTAGAGTCACAATTGTAGTTTCTTTTTCCTCCTAAACAAGAAGTAATCTATCTAATTGCAATGTTATCCCTACGGCAGACAGACATATACAGATTCATAATTAATAATAATTTATTATAAAACCAATATTTAGTATACTTTCAGAGAAATTTTATTAATTCTTATTATTATTATTATCATTATCAGATTCACACAAAGGAGAACATTGAAACGCTGTCTGCTTTGGAAATTGCCGAACAAATGACTTATTTGGATCATCGAATTTTTGTCTCAATTGCTAGCGAGTATGTATCGCAGTAGATTAAAAATCGGCGTAAACAAAACTTTCATTACTTGTATTTCTTAGGATTTTCTAGAAAATAATTATTAATCATTCAAAAAAAATTTTAGAGTAAATAAAATAAGAATTTATTTTAAAAAGAGTGTTTGTAAAGTATTACATTTTTTTAAAACTTGGTTATAAAACAATTGGTAATAAATAACAAGTAAAAGAAGGATTTTTTTTCATTTTTGAACATTACAACATAACAAGGTGTATCTCATTTTCAATGTGTGTAAGTTTTTCTTTTTTTTATTAAATTCTAGAGAGTTTCTCAGTCAAGCATGGATGAAGGCTGATAAAGCCACGAGGGCGCCTCACGTTACATTGATGACTAAACGCTTCAATCATGTTTCTTTGCTTGTTGTTTCTGAAATTGTTAGAAGAACTTCCATGTCTGCTAGAGTAGCAGCTATAGAAAAATGGACAGCAGTTGCAGATATAAGCAGAGTTCTTCGCAATTATAATGGTGTATTACAAATATGTGCTGCATTCACAAATAGCAGTGTATACAGGCTAAAAAAAACGTGGGAGAAAGTATCAAAAACGGTATGTCTATTATGTTGAAATATATTACCGTTTTTTATTTAGATAATATATAATTATATATTTGGCACTATTTAATATTATTAATTTTTATTTCTAATAGACAGTGTAAAAATATAGATGTATATATTCAAATTTTTTGTTCCAGACAAAACAAACAATTGAAAGGCTTCAGATTATTGTGTCATCTGACTGTAGATTTCGCAATCTGCGCGATGCTTTGCATCGCTGCGATCCACCGTGCATTCCATATCTCGGCATTTATCTAACTGACCTGTCTTTTATTGAAGAAGGAACTCCCAATTTTACTGAAGATGGTTTATTGAATTTTTCAAAAATGAGAATGGTATGTATTAGAAATTATATTATTGTATCATGTATTATGTAAGCTTGCAGGCAACTTGCAGAAAGTTTGCAATTTATTTGTCATGTACAATCAATTTTAATTGTTGCTTAATTATCTATTGGGACAAAATTTCTGGATCCACACATAATATACACTATAGTGTAAAAAGAAGTGTGTTACTGGAATGCACTTCAAGTGCATAAATTTGTCCCAATTCTGAACACACTTTGAGTGCATTATTCTCATGCACTTTGACGTCAAAGTGTGTAATTCTTATGCATTTTATATTTTATGAACTTCAAAGTGCATAAGAATTACACACTTTGACGTCAAAGTGCATGAGAATAATGCACTCAAAGTGTGTTCAGAACTGGGACAAGTTTATGCACTTGAAGTGCATTCCAGTAACACACTTCTTTTTACAGTGTATCGTAACCTAGGGAGCGTTCTTCACAAGTGATGTCACGTTTTTGCGGGTAGGGCATGAAATTGCGTGACAGGGGAGGGGGGGGGTGATAATCTCAAAAAATTGCGTGACATCATTTGTGAACGCTCTCCCCTACGCAGGTATACATTAACCTGGATAAAAAATTTTAATTTCGAAAATTTTCTAAAGAACATGGTTTTTCGCAATATTGTATTGATATCGTGTACACCTACTATATGGTTCAAGAAATACTGCTTGAGCAGTATTACTACTCCTTCTCTTTATTTTGCAAAATATTATTTTTTTATTAATGTTGTGATTCACGGAATTGCTTGATTTTATTTTATTTTTTTTTTTTTATTAAAATTGAAAAGTAAATTAAACTTTTGTTTAAACATTTAACTGATGGGAAATTTGCATGCAGCAGTTGACCCTGTAAGATAATCAATGTGTTGAATTATTATTTTAGTATATTCGACACTTTTTTTTTTAAAAACTATCCGTAACCGCCGAAAATTGACAAAACTTTTGGGTAATCACAACTGTTTTACTAATATAGTCGTGTTACATCACGTATGGGGATATTTAAGATTTGTATAATTAATTATTGCACTAGCATTAGATACACGCGCTTGCACTTTTCAAGTCGCAATTATTGAAAGAATCCAATTTACAATATTTAGGTTTTCATTTATTTTACACTCTATAAATTTAGGAAATCAAGTAAGGACAAAATTTGTCAATTGTTCCAAAACCATTTATTATTGTCATGTTCATACTTTTTTAATCTTTGTGTATAAAATCAGACTTTAAATTTTTTAAATTTAGTATTTGATACTCTTAAATTTAAAGATTTTTAATTAAATATATGTCGTATATGTGGTATGAATATAAGAAATGATTAAGATATTTTTAATATGTAACATTAAATCAGACGATTCCGTGGATTTTCTTATATTAATATCCATGTTTTTCGTTATTAATTTTAATGGTTTGTTATTTTTAATATGATTATAGGTAGCACATGTTATTCGAGAAATTCGACACTTTCAACAAACCCCATATAAGATTGAGTTAATCAAAAAAGTAACAAATTATCTTTTAGATCCATCTCTTTTATTAGATGAGGATGAAATGTATAGTATGTCCTTGACAATTGAGCCCAGGACATCAAGGTTAAGTAATGTAGGATTGACTAATCTGTACACGTCACTGATAACTTCTTCAACAATTAGTACAACAACTTCTACTATTTCAACGACAATCAAAAGCAATAACAATCAACATTTATCGTCTGTGTAATTAATGAAGCTATTCGTTTCTTCAATGATGTATCTAAAAAGATTCACTTTCACAAAATCGCGCGCGCGCGTTTTCTAAATTCTTTTCTTCTTAACTTGCAAATATTGAAAGGTAGGGTTGATTATTATTTTGGTTCATTGAAACACGCAATTTTCAAACTTTTTATATATATCACTTTGACTTTTCTACAAGAAGAAATTACTACGCGAGAATTTGAATTAATATTACTTGTGCTTTTAATGCCCATATATTGTTTTTACCCTTCATATCTTTATAATTTGGGCGCGCACTCTTTTTCACTGTGCCAAAAGTTGAGTCCTCTTGGGTATTAGGCCAGTCGGTGAGTGCAAAAACTGCCCAAAAATACAAACAGCAAAGTCTCAACGGTTTCTGGTAGTTTGGGGGCTCCTTATAAGAGCCCCACAGTTTGCTCTCGATTTCCGGGTGCGAAAAACAGTGTAAACAATCGCCAAAGTTTGGAAAACAGGGTTTTTCGATGCTCGTTTCTTCCGGTTAAGTTTTAGGGGAAAACGTTGTTATTGAAAGTTATATAGAGCTTGGAAATACCTTTCAAATGATGGGTCATACGTTAAAAAAGGTTAATTAGTTTAGTTGCAAATGAATTTAAACCATTAAAAATAGCACTTGTTTAATTGTTTAATAACTTTGTTAATAATTATCGAATTTGTTCATAACTTACCAGGAATGTTCTCCTTGCGTAGCTGAATAAATCCCAAAAAAATTAACTAGATCGGAGAAATAGTTTATGCATAATTCCATTTGTTAACTAAAAACATGTAATTGTTCAACGGAATTTCCCCACCTTTGGTACATCCAATTTCGATTTTTTTTGGAAAGTACACTTAAGAAGTCAAACTTTCATCCTATTTAAATTTAAATGGCCAATTAATTTTTTTTATCTAAGTGCAGGAGTATATAAAAAAAAAATTAGATGAAATAAGATGTACGAAGAAAAATTTTTGTTAAATATAATAAATAATAATAAAAATTTGTTGTTAAAAAAAAATTTTATTTCTACAAAAAATATTTTATTTAAAAAATATATAAATTCATATTTGGATTCAGCATAAAAAAATACATGGAATTAAAAAAAAAGATTAAAATCGGTCAATAATTAACGAAGTTGTGACCATTTTTGTGAATTTGACGGCTGAATTCTGTTTGTGGCGGGCGAAATTCCCGCGTACCGAGTTCCCCCACTCCGCCGTCCAAGGGTTGAAATAAATATTCAAGTACTTTCACTTGATATAAATGAAAAATATAAGCACAAAACGTTAAGTTCAATTTTTTTTCATAAAATACATGTTTTGAACTAAAAGTCGTGCGAGTTTCAATAAAAAATATTAATAATTAACTTGTCAGGAATTTCTTTTTAAAAAAGTTAACTCCCCCCCCCCCCCCTTCAAGTTAGGTCGGATTTTTTTTGAAAAGTTTTGTGGAAACAAATGGAATTATATGCCGTTTATAGCTAATTGATAAAGTGAAAATTGGCTGAGTAATTCCATTTGTTTATGACAAAAAAATACACTCTTTTTTAACCCTTTTTATTATGCACTTAGATAAAAAAAATCAATTGGCCATTTAAATAGGATGAAAGTTTGACTTCTTAAGTGTACTTTCCAAAAAAAAAAATCGAAATTCGATGGACCAAAAGTGGGGAAATTCCGTTGAAAAATTACATGTTTTTAGTTAACAAATGGAATTATGCATAAACTATTTCTCCTATCTAGTTAATTTTTTTTGGGATTTATTCAGCTACGCAAGGAGAACATTCCTGGTAAGTTATGAACAAATTCGATAATTATTAACAAAGTTATTAAACAATTAAACAAGTGCTATTTTTAATGGTTTAAATTCATTTGCAACTAAACTAATTAACCTTTTTTAACGTATGAACCATCATTTGAAAGGTATTTCCAAGCTCTATAACTTTCAATAACAACTTTTTCCCCTAAAACTTAACCGGAAGCAACGAGCATCGAAAAACCCTGTTTTCCAAACTTTGGCGATTGTTTACACTGTTTTTTGCACCCGGAAATCGAGAGCAAACTGTGGGGCTCTTATAAGGAGCCCCCAAACTACCAGAAACCGTTGAGACTTTGCTGTTTGTATTTTTGGGCAGTTTTTGCACTCACCGACTGGCCTATATTATGTATGGCTATACACTGAGAGAAATTTCCATCTCAAATAGTATTGAAACACTGAACGTACTTATTGTTGGTATGCCCTTATAGTCGTGAGTTTTAATACGAAAACATACCGAATTCGCTCAGGGATAATAACAAAATAGCGTTAAATCTACGAAATGAGTATGTTTTTCTACTAATAGTGGCGCATGGATTTGCAAAAAGAATAGCAATACAGTTCATGCTATTTCATTTATTAATTTCTCCAAGTGTATAGATTCAATTTTTACACTAGATATATATTAAATCTAGGATATATTATATTATTCTTCTTATTATATATGTTTATGTCCGCTATCGGAAAGGGCCCACTTGGTCGGTTTAATTTTTGGAGATGTTTTTAATTTTCTACAATTTACTAATAATAATTGTGGATTTTAACTTTCTTGATTTTCTCAAAATCAAATTTTAAGACACTTGTCCAACTACTTAAAACCCTTTAACTTGGCGAATTTTTCACCTATAGAAGATTCCAAGATTATTTTGCTGTAAATGTTGAAAAAATTTTACAATGATTGATTAAATTTTCAAATGTTGAAAAATTAAAAATTTTTTTTTGTAATGTATATAATATATATATATATATATATATATATATATATATATATATATATATATATATATATATATATATATATATGATTGGGGTACAAAAGTTACAAAACGGAAGTTCCAATCGAAAATATATATTATATATATAATGCCAAAATGAGTCCTTTTCATATGCTAAAGATAGAATATGCTATATAGAATGAATGAACGGATTTTAATTCTTTGTGATAATAATTTATTAAAAAACAATAATCAACACAATTTTGTGGAGGAAATGCATGACAGCACATCTGTATTTGTCATTATTCGAGATAAGTGAATTTCAAAGTGCTCTTATTACTTCCCAGCGATATTCTTTCAAATCAAAAATTGTATCAAAATTGCAAAAATGTTTCAACATTTTTTTTTTTTTATTCTGGAACTATTAGTACTATTTAAATGCGATTTAGTGACCATAAAACTTGTACATTACTAAATAAACTAATGAATGATAAACATGCCAAAAACAAAGAGGGCATATTATTCAACTAAATGATACGAATGTGTTTTGCTATATAGTGAAATTTATCAAGTAAATATACAAATGAAAATGCATATCCAAAAAGAGTCTGCGAATTATATAAACATTGCATAAACAAGTGTCTGAATAAAAAAGTCTCAAGATCCAAAGTAGTCTCAAATTATTCACTACACACACAACAGAATCAAGTAAAGTGGAGATGAGGATAGTAATTGAATGTAAGAAAATCTAAATTATGCCACAACAGTTTAAAATAAATTGGGGCAAATTTTATATTGATATTTTTCTGCCTTTAAGAGAAATTTCTGCCTCAAATTCTACTCTCTGATGATGTCGTGAGTTTTTATTACAGGAATATATACTAAATTCGATCAATTCAAAATAGCATCAACTGCTACAAATTTAATATGTTACTTACTATAATATTGTGTGTTATGTTCATTTTGATTCACTTACAAATTTTTGTCAGTATAGTTTAATCTCTGATACTCATATGTGCAGGCTATTACAGATAAAAAATTATATTTATAATTTTATCGTAATCAAGTTGTAACTGCGCGCAATACTTTTTGAATCTTGTAAATTCCCAGTGGGCAAAAAACCATCATTGTTTTAAAAACGTTCCAAAAACGTTTTTAGAACGTTTCATGTCTGCTAAATAACGTCCCAAAAACGTTATATGGTTTTAAAACGTTTGAAAAGCAGTGGAACGTTTTTGGAACATTATTTTGCAGACATGAAACATTCTAAAAACGTTTTTGGAACGTTTTTAAAACAATGATGGTTTTTTGCCCACTGGGTTACTACTGGTTAAATAAGCGGAATTTTCACAATTATTTTGATGGTACTGTTAAAGTTAAGTTATTTTCAAAAATAGATCAATTTCTATAAAAATATCATTTTTGGAGAAATTCAAAAATAAAATGTATTTACAAAATGCGCGTGTTAATTAACTGTCAACTTGAAACAATATTTACTTATATAACTAAAGCACATGATCTGTTAAAAGAAGGTTTGCTCGAAAAGCAAATACAATGTTCGAAAAAATGTATTGTACTTGAAAATATGTATATACACCATATACCTCAATTTATATACATGCATTGGCATATGGCAATTTCATGGCAGATAATTAAGTAAAATCGTAGTTATCGATCTATACATTACAGCACTGAGAATTTTCTCTAGATTTCTATGTAAAAAATCATTCAAGACAAACAATAAGCGTTTTATGTGAGAAAGTGACATACAATGCGTTTATTCGATATACATGTTGCGACTATATACATGGAAAGTTTCCCATTAAAAAATAATTATTAAAAGTGGGTGTTTTTATAAATTGTGGAAACCAAAAAATATAATGCCATTATTCAGATTTTAAATTTACACTTTGAGAAAAGTGCTTATGTTTCTTTTGTTAATTTCTAGTCTTAATTTTGCACATAGAACGTTATACTTTCAACGTAAAAAGCGTTTTCTATTAAAACCATGCAAAAAGTTTTGCCGGAATAATGAACTGTCGTCGTCAAACATATATCGACTGGGTTTTATTCAGTGCATTCGCATTGGCAGTTTGCATTCTTATCTAAAACAAAACGCCCACTTTTGATACTATTGTTATTTTTGCCAAGATCCTTAATTATACTGATAGGTGCAAAGTTGGTCAATATTGTAAAATATTGCTAAGAAAAAGAAACATGATTAATTAAATAATTTGTTACTATCTAAAAAATTTAAAAATTATAAACATTTATTAAATTAATCATCTTTTATTTTATAGTTTTAGACTAGAATGTGCGTTCTTTTTAGACAGCAATGTTTCGCTTATCATTGTCTAAATTAATAGAAATTTTCAAACTGCACAATATTTCTGTCCGCAGATGAATGCGCGCGATATTGCACTCTGTCACATTTATTTTCCTGATAGTGGAAAATATTATGATAACAATTATGATTTGCATTTGTTTCTCAAGTTTTTGTTTCTCAACTAGAACGCAGAATTCTTGTTGGTCAAGGACAGAAAAATATTTATTTGAATGTATAACGTATTTTCCCAAGTAGCACGCGTAATATTTGGTATTGTAATATTAAATATTATACGATTGTAAAAAAATTTAATAAAATGTAAATTTAATGAGGAAAGAAGGAGGAAAACTTTTTTTTCCTTTTAATCATTAGATATGCATTTTAATTACTTTATGTATTTGTGTAATATTTAATTAAACTTTAATTAATGTTACCTCGCAATATATTACCATCGCAGGTGGACATTTTAATACTACTAAGTGTAATAATATCACGTGCTACTTGGGTATATATGAAATAAACTTTTATTTGGAGTGATTATCTCATTGTTATTAGATTGTGTGCCTTCTCCAGCGCAGATAGCACAATATTTTTCAGCAAGTTTGCACTGCGCAACTTTCTAGTAAACTCTTGTGATAGATAGCAAAATGTTACACATATGATAAGTTTTTCATTATAGTAAATTTTTTAAAAAATTTGAAGAAAGAAATTGTTTTTCTCAAAATGTAATATTTTGATAAAAATAGTGCTCATCGCCACAGAAAATTAATGCTTGTAGGTTTTACTTTGCTACGCAAATTTCCTGCATGGTTGCGCGCCGCGCAATCTTGTCGCAAAAAGAGACATTTTGCTAATGTGCTACAATAAGTGTGCTGCAAACTTGCAAAACAGTAAGCAATCTTTCAAACTTTGCTTTGCGCAAACTTGTTGAAGAATGTAGTGCCATCTACTACCTATAGATATTCGCATCAAGTTTGTTAACAAAGTCAAGCTATATATTATTATTGTAAGCTTACCGAGAGTTACTTATATTATCCTTTCTTAAAAAAGACATGGAATGGAAAGGTCGAATGTATCGAAAAGTATCGAAGTAAAGAATGGGCAATGAGAATGTAAAATCTTAATAGAAGGGTGTTTTTAAAATTGTTTGTACATGTGAAGGTGGCGCTGCAGTCGTATGTTATTTAAAAAGAGCGCGAATATATAAATTTTATTTTTGTTAAGAGAAAGTACTCATAATAAATCTTATTTTGCATTGTCAAAAAAAACGTCAACATTTCAAATATAAATAAGCAAATTATTAACTGAAAAAATTTGAATATTATTATTAATGAAATAATGGACTTGGACAATGGACATATAAAAAATTAAAAACTAGCACCGTAGACGGCCGCTTGCGGCCGTCGGAGGAGCTAGTAATAATAAACTTGACGAATATCCTTAGTACACTTATGAGAAGATTGCAGCAAGATAATACGCCATGTGGGTATATATTCAAGTATCCGATATTACTTCCAGTAACTGCGATTTATGTATCATATTGTTTATTTATAATAACAAGATTTTTCTTTAATACATACCCAGATAACAATAGTGCGTCGCACATAAGTGTCACTAAATGAGTCTCATTTTGTGCATGCATAAAATCTGCTTAAATGCATGAAAATAAACTGCACATGACTAGCACGATATGCGTCTCATTTTCTGCGTGCAAAAATTATGTTTAATGCCATTTTTTAATGCGAGTACATTGTCGCACGATGGTTGCACGTATGTGATGGTAATGCGAGGCATTTTGTGTGTTCAAAAGAGCACCTTAAAGTTCTACATAACGTGACTTACGACAATTTGCGTTTTGTGCGTGAAAAAGTGCACCTTAAATGAGCGTGGTTCACACTATTGGGACTATTCGCCCATTATCGATCTAGCTGTCGATGCGTCAACACATCCTCGTGGTTGTTATTATTATTTAGTGTAATTTAGTTTGGTGATAGTGGTGTTAAGTGAATTGGACTTGGATTATAAGAAGTTTGTCAAAAAGGTAAATACTGCAACAAAATAATACATTTTTGTCCTAAAATTCAATTTATAACTTTTTTTATAATGTAAATGTAAATTACATTATAAAGGTTAGGGTTGCCACAAGTCAGGGTAATCATGGAAAATTCAAGGATTTTTATTAAAAGTACTAGAAAAAAATAAATTTTTAGAATTCATAAGAAAATTCTGAATTTTTTGTCTTTTTTGTTTGCCTCATAATCTATAAAACTACACTGTAAAAATTTTTCTTGTAACTTTACAACATTTCAATGTGGGTCTGAAATCTTACATACTGTGGAAATGTCAGGAAAAAAATTTTTTGTCAGTAAAGTCAGGAAAAATTTTTTTGTCAGGGCAATTAAAGAAGAAGGGAAACGTCAGGAAAAAAAATTTTGTGTCAGTACTGTCAGGAAAAATTTTTTTGTCAGGGCAATTAAAGAAATTAAGACGGTCATTCAATACATTTTTTGCTCTAAACAAAAAAATTTTTGTCAGGGAAATTCGTTGTTATGTCAGTAAAATGTCAGGGAAATTGATAAAGTCAATCTTGCGGCCACCCTTTGAATAGTGACATTCTTCAAGAATTTACTTAAAATTGTATTAAAAATAATTGAAATCCTGTGAAGAATTTTATTAATTTATGAAAGTAATTGAATTCTTGCAATGAATTTTTTCAAATTTTTTTTTAAATAATTGAAATAATGTAAAGAATCTTATTATTTATGAAAATAATTGAATTCCTGCATAGAATTTTATTACATTTTTTTTTGTATAATTGAATTCTTTTGAGAACTTTTATTAAAAAAGTAGATTGTGAAAAATTTCAATTTCAACGAAAAATTTCATTATATTCGTGAAATGTAATTAAATTCTTACAAAAAAATTAAGAGAATAATAATTACATTTTTCTAGAATTTACTTTAAATTGCATTATAAATAATTGAAATCCTCAGAAAAATTTTATAATTTATGAAAATAATGGAATTCTTACAACGAATTTTATCAATTTTTTTTAAATAATTGAATTCATGTGGAAAATTGTATTACTTGTAAAAATAATTGAATTTATGCAACGAATTTTATTACATTTTATTTAAATAATTATATTCTTTTGAAAACTTGTATTAAAAATGTAAATTTTTGAAAATTTTTTAATTTCAGCGAAGAATTTCATTATTTGTGAAATGTACCTAATTTAATTCTTACAAAAAATTTTTGAAGATTTGTAATTTTATTTTTCGAGAAATTTATTTAAAATTGTATTAAAAATAATTGAATTCTTGCTTAAAATTTTATTATAATTTTTGTAAATAATTTAATTTTTTTTTGAAAAATTTCATGGAAATTAAAATTTTTATAAAACATGAAGATATCAATCACTCCAAGTCTTCGACTCGGAAATTCGTAAGTTAATTTAATAGAATGTTTTTCTGAGTATCTAATAATTTTTAGAGTGAATCAGAATATTCTTTATGGTCAGGGAAAAAGTGAAAATTTTGTCTGGAAATTAGGGAAAAGACGTTGGTGAAGTTCACAACGTTTATAATCAACGATTTAGAAGAAAAAATATTTTCTATTCAAAATTTTTACATATTTTTGCACAAAAAAACTCTCGTGAATTTTTTCATCATTAATTTGAAATAGATAAATTTTTGAACAAAATATTTTATTGTTTTTGTCAAGAAAAATATTTTATTTCTTGCAATCGTTGATAATAAACGTTGTAAACTTCACCGTCGTGGGAAAAGTCAGAGAAAAATTAAATTAAATTTCTGTGGCAACCCTGTATTTCTTTTATTTTTTAAAAAAACTCATGATTTTTAACAGCTCTGATATATTAGTATTATACAATTTATAGAAACAATCTTAAATATTAAAATTTGTTGAATTTATTTTGACTAATTATTTTGCTTCAGCCGCAGCAAAGACAGAGATAGAAGACGTAGGACACGCAGTCGTTCCAGAAGTCGTTCACCACGAGACCGAAGAAATTGGGGAGGAGGTCGTGATCGTGACCGTGATCGAGGAGGAAACAGTTGAGGGGGACGAAATCAACCAGGTGCAAATTTAAAGAAGCCCAGGTGGGATCTAAGTCGTCTTGAACCATTTAAGAAAGACTTTTATATTCCGAGGGACGTCGTTCAGAACAGAGATCCTCGTATTATTGAACAGTACAGAAGTGATAAGGAAATTACTCTACGTGGGCGTAGTATTCCTAATCCTGCATTCTATTTCGAGGAAGCAGAATTTCCTGAATACGTCATCAAAGAAATAAGGTACGTTTAAAGTATTTATTAAATCTAAAGTTTCTTTATTAGCAATCTCTTTAGCAATGCTATTTTACTTGTCTATTAATAAAATAATAAGTTTAAAATATTGTACAGGGTATGAAATCCCGTGAATATTCAGAAAGTGTGCATTTTCGAGGAAAATGTTTACAGCCATCACAGATAGTCCCTTATGTCCCGTTTTTCAATTTTGTCACCTTTTTATAATAAAAAATAAAGAAGTTTTTCTTTGCTTCGAAATCTTTCTCAAAGTATAATAGATGAATTTTAGTTAAAAACACTGAAGAATTGAATTTTGGAGAAGTTACAAATGATTGCAGAAATTCAATTATTTTCAAAATTAATAAAATTCTTCACAGAAATTCAATTATGTTCAACATTTTTTTTAAATTCTCGTCAAAATTTCAATTATTTTTATAAACCATAAAATTAATTTATTTTCAAAAATTTTAATAACATTCTTGTCAAAATTTCAATTATTTTCAAAAATTTTCCTCAATTCAATGACTTTTTATATAATAATATTTTAATAAAATCACCCAAATTTTCCATAAGAATTCAATTATGTTAATAAAATTCTACGCAAACATTTAATAATTGTTTTCATAAATAATAAAAATTTAACAGGAATTCAATTATTTACAAATTTTTTTGATAATTATTCTTAAAAATTTTTGATTAAAATTCGTGGAAAGAATTTGATTATTTAAAAATTTGTTGATAAAATTCTTTGAGAATTTGATTTTAAGAAACATTCAAATTTTCAATAAATTAATTATTCTTCTATTAAAAATAATTGAATTCACGTAGAATTTTCTAACAAAAATCGAATAAACATAAAAATTTTTTCCAGAAATTCAACTATTTTCAAAATTTTTTTAAATAATTCTCATCAACATTTCAATTATCTTTATAAATAGCAAGGGAAATAAAAGTTTTGAACGTTCAAATGAACGAAATATTATTTTCTACTGCAATATTTTTAAAAATTACTGAACTGAAATGAAAAAAAATATAATTAAATATTTATTTAGTTAAAAATGATTTTTTTAATTATGAAAAACAATATTTTGTAAATAAAATTAAAATTTAAAACGGTAATAAAAATATCGTCGTTCATTTGAACGTTCAAAACTTTAGGGACATAATAGCAAAATTATTCGATGAAGTTCAATATTTTGAACAAAAGGGCTTTGTGCCCGTAAACACATATAAATATATAAATAAATATTATATTTAGGAATTTTTATAAAATTCATTGCAAAATTCAATTATTTTCATAAACAACAATATTCATCACAAGAATTTAATTATTTTCAAAATTAATAAAATTCTGCGCAGAAATGAAATTATTTACAAAAAATCTAAAAAAAAAATTGTCAACATTTCAATTATCTTTTTAAATGAATGGCAAAATTTGATTACTTTCAGGAATTTTAATAAAATTCATTGCAAAATTTAATTATTTTCATAAATAATAGTATTCATCACAAGAATTCAAGTATTTTAAAAAATTTTAATAAAATTCATGGCAAAATTCCAATTATTTTCAAAAATTTTTCTTAATTTAATAATTTGTAGATAATCTATTATTTTAAGAATAAATTTCCCAAAAGAATTCAATTATTTAAAAACAATTTTGACAAAATTCTACACTAATATTCAATTAATTTCTAAAACAATGAAAATTTCACGGTAATTCCAGGTATCACAGTTGGTCCCTTTTTCCACTTTTGTCCCCTTATTTCAATTTTATCACCTTTTTTTGACGATTTGTCACCTTTTTCACCTTTTTCTAATAAAAAATAAGGAAAAATTATTAATTAACATTCAAATAATTAAAATATTATTAAAAGTTTTTTATAGAAAAACGAAAATTCTAATCAGGGTGGCCACATGTCAGTAAAGTCAGGGAAATGTCAGGGAGAAAAATATTTTGTCAGTAAAGTCAGGGAAATGTCAGGAAAAAAATTTTTTGTCAGTAAAGTCAGGGAAATGTCAGGAAAATTTTTTTTGTCAGGGCAATTAAAGAAATTAGACGGCCATGCAATATATTTTTTGCTCTAAACAAAAAAATTTTTGTCAGGGAAATTCGTTGTTATGTCAGTAAAATGTCAGGGAAATTGATAAGTCAATCTTGCGGCCACCCTGATATTATAAAGAGTTAAATTCTAATGTATTCATGTTTCTTACTGTGTCATTGTAATTTTTCAATTCTATTGTTTCAAGATAATTGAATTTTTCTAAACAAATAATTGAAATTTGTTTACATTTTTTGAAAAATAATTGAATTCTTTTAAAGAATTTTATTTAAATTTTTCGAAAATAATCAAGCGAAGTTAGTGACCGTAATTATAATTTAATTTTTAAAATTTAAAGTCCCTGTTACAGTTTTAAATAAATTTTTTGCTTCTAAAAATATTATTGAACTTCTCTTAAATTTTTATAATTTTAAATTACTGATTAAATGTTTATTATTACTTATTAGGTAAATAATTATAATTATTAATGATTATTATTTTCAAAAATTTTAATAAAATTCTTCACAAGAATTAAATTATTTTCATAAATAATAGCATTCTTTGGAAGGATTCAATTGTTTTTATAAATAGTAAAATTTTTTGCAGAAATTCAATTATTATCAATATAATTTTAATAAAATTAAAAAATCAAATTTTCAATTATAATTATAAAGAGACAAGATTATTTTTAAAAAATTAAAAGATTTATTTATTTTCGAAATCAAATTTAAATTTGATGAGAAAAAAAACCGGGAAAAAATTTTTTACATAACCGGGAAAATCCGGGAAATAACCGGGAAATATCCGGGAATTTTGTTAAACGAAAATACTAGACACCCTGAATTCAATTATTTACATTTTAAAAATTTTTTTTCAAAAATTGTTATAAAATTCTTTAACATAATAAATTTCAGTCAGATTTTAATTAAATTTTTAAAAAGAAATTAAATATTTTTAAAAGTTGTTAATAAAATTCTTTGTAAAACTTAAATTCCAAGTTTTTATTTTCTAATATATATTTATCTGGAGATTTTTCAAGTAATCGAAATTTCATAAAATTAAATTGTGAACAGATGGATTTAAAAATTCTCAATAAGAAAATTTTCAAAAATTGTTAAAAATAATTAATTTAAAGAAGAATTGTAGTTGAAAATTCTTGAAAATGTTTATTGAATTGAAATAATGAAAATAATTTTGACGAAGTTAAATTAAAAATAGTCTTTTATAATACAAAATAATTTTTTTATCACACCGTCATTTTTAATTATTATAAAATATGAAAAAGCTATTACTCTAATTCCAATTCCAATTGAAAAATAATAATGATTAAATATTTATTTAAAGAAGAAGTTATTGATGTTTTCGTATAATTTTGCAATTAAAGAAATTACTAAATAAATGTATTAGAGATTTTTTTTGAGTATTCAATCATTGTTAGAGTGAATCACAATATTTTATTAGAGTCAGGGAAAAAGGCAAAATTTCATCTGGAAATCAGGGAAAAGTCAGGGAAAAACAAAGTTAAATTTTTGTGGCAATCCTGAATGTGCAAAATGTTTTTTTTTATATTTTCTGCCCATAAATTTCTACCCTCTTAAAAAAACTTTCTGAAATTTTCAATTCTAAATTTTCAGTTTTGTGGGAGTTATAGAGGAGGAAAGAAAAATCGAAAAACATATTTTTCTTAAAAACTACTATGTATATCGATTTTTATGAAATTTAAATATTTATGTTAAAAAGACATTTTTGAATTTTTTGAATTTTTTTTTCAAAAAATTTTTGATTTTGAAATATTCAAAACCTAAAACCTAAACTGTCAGAAACTTAAGTGCATTTCTGGTAACTTTTACTACTTTCAGAGTAAATTTTACTAATTTTTTACAAATATGTACCTTGAGCGTAGTAAAAGTTACTTCGAACGTAGCAACATTTACTCCGAAAGTAGTAAAAGTTACCAGAAATGTACAAAAGTTTCTGACAGTTCAGGTTTTACTATGAAAGTAGTAAAAGTTAGTTTCTATTTTCTCCATGCGACTGTACCTTTTATTTTGGAATGAAAATTTTTTTTATAAGATAATTAAAATTTCCAAATATATAATTAAACAATTATTTATCAAATAATAAATTTTTTAAGTATTTCATTAAAATTTTTTGAAAAAATTATATGGTCAGTTGGAGTAAATCCAGACTCAAATTAAGCATTTCAAGTAACTTTGATAGAAAATCGCATTCAACTTCATTTTATCTGTTCGGTCGCATATTGGAAACTTCGAAAAAGTCACTCAGGTAAAAAGAAACTATTATCAGGGTGGCCACATGTCAGTAAAGTCAGGGGAATGTCAGGTAAACAAAATTTTTGTCAGTAAAGTCAGGGAATTAAGAAAATTGAGACTTTTTTCGACTTATTTTCAAAAATTGCGACATTTTCGACTTTTCTTCCAAACATTGAAACAAAAAATCACAAATTTTTAGTAAAAAAAAGTGCAACTTATTTTGATTTGTATAATGCGAAAAATAATTGTAAACAAATATTTCAAAAATTGTTTTTAAATAATTTTTTAAGATAAATAAATATTTCAGTTATATCTATAATAAAAATCTTTTTGAATAATTGACATTTTGTACAATTTAATGGAAAATAATTAATTTTTTTCAAGTAGTTAAAAAAAGTTTTTGAAAATCAACTTTTGAAGAATTTCCATTCCAAATTTTGAAAAGAATTGAATTATCAAATATGTTAATGAAAAATCTGCAGATGTAAAATTTTTAATTTTAGAATTATTTTCAACATTTTGGAGAAAAAAATCATGTTCAAAATTTTTAATTAAAATTCATCAAAAAATTAATTATTTTTTTTAAATTATACAAAAATTCTTTTAAGAAATAATTATTTTGGAAAAATTACATTAAAATATTTTTAAAAACTAATTATTAGAATTATTTTACAATAATTGCTTAAGATTCAATTATTTTCGAACAATGTAAATAAAAATTTTCCAAATTAAAAAAACTATTATCTTTCAAAAATTGTTTTTAAAAAATTAATTGGAAGAATTTTTTTATAATATTTGGAAAATATTGTACCTTAATAACTTAAAAAAAAACTGGAAAGTTACAATTATTATAAAAAATTGAGTTTTTGTATTAATTGTATTCTAGAAGAACTTTTGGGAAATTATTTAAATAATTTGATTCAAAGATGAAGTTTAGTTGAAAATTGTAGAAAATAATTGAATTCAGGAAATTTAATTTTTAGAAATTATTAAAATTCATAAATTTTACTCATTTTTCGTAAACATTAATATTTTCCTGTAAACAGTATATCACTCTAAATCTGAATCAGTGAAAATTTCACTGATTTCAATTCAGTGGCTCAGTTTCTTTGATGAATCAGTGGGATTTCACTGAAAATCAGTAAAAAACCACTGATTGTCAGTGAAATCGGGGCTCGGATTGTGCGAATTTTTCGACTTTTTTCGACTTTTCTAAGGAAATGGGACTTTTTTCGAGTTTTTTGTAAAAATATGCGACTAATCGACTTTTTCGACATTTTTTTTTAGTAAAATGCGAATGAAATTAAAAATTTTTTTTTTAACTTAAAGGAAAAAGTTTGAGTCAAAAAAATGTTCTGTTACATTTATTTACAAATTTCTTTCAAATTTTTCGAAAACATCAATTATTTCTTTTTTAAATAAATATTTAATTATTATTTTTCCATAGGAAATAAAATTCTTCAAAAGATTCAAATTTAAATCTTTTTGAAATTAAAAAACTTATAAAACATGAAGAAATCGATCACTCCGAGTTTTCAACTCGGAGCAATCGATGTCTTCATGTTTTATAATAATTAAAGATGACCGAGTGATAAAATTATTAATTTATATTAAAAGACTTTATAAAAAACAAATTTTTTTTCAATTATTTTTCATGCAAATAATTGAATTATTGGGAAGAAATTTATAAAACATCAGTAAGTAATTGAATTTTGCAGAAGAATGTTAATATTTACAAAGATAATTGAAATTTTGAAGGGAATTTAAAAAAAAAATTTTGAAAATAATTGAATTTCTGTGAAGAATTTTCTTACTTTTGAAGATAATTGAATTTTATGCAAAAAATTGTATCAAAACTTTTGAAAATAATTAATTTTCCAGGATGAATTTTATTTTTTATGAAGATAATAAAAATTTCAACGAGGAATTTAAAAAAAATTTTGAAAATAATTGAATTTCTGCGAAGAATTTTATTACTTTTGAAAATAATTGAATTTCTAGGATGAATTTTATTATTTATAAAGATAATTGAAATTTTGACAAGAATTTTATTAAAATTCTTTGCAAATAATTGAATTTCAGAGAAGAATTTTATTATTCACAAAGATAATTGAAATTTTGAACAGATTTTTTTAAAAAGTGTTTAAAAGTAATTGAATTTTGCAGAAGAATTTTGATATTTATAAACATAATTGAAATTTTGAGGAGAATTTAAAAAAAAAATTTTGAAAACAATGAAATTTTTATGATGAATTTTATTATTTATAAAATTTTGGCAAAAATTTTTTTAAAAATTTTGAATATAATTGAATGTTTTCGAAGAATTTTATTACTTTTGAAAATAATTGAATTTCTAGGATGAATTTTATTATTTATAGAGATAATTGAAATTTTGACAAGAATTTTATTAAAATTTTTGTTAAATGATTGAATTTCGAAGAAGAATTTTATTATTTATAAAAATAATTGACATTTTAAAGAGAATTTTTAAAAAAATGTTGAAAATACGTAATTCAAATTTAGCAATGAATTTTATTAAATTTTTAAAAATGTTATTTTTTTGTTGAGAAATGTGATTTATTTTTACAATTTTGACAATTTCGTGTTTTTTTGTCGTTTTTTCTAAAATTTCATGCGACTTTTTTCCGACTTTTTTGGAAATTTTATGCGACTTTTCTTGACTTTTGTTGTAAATTTATTCGACTAAAGCGACTTTTTTGAGTCTTAAAGACGATTAATTGTCAGGGAAATTGATAAACTGAAACTTGTGAACACCCTGTTTATGTTCACGTCGAATTTCCTTTTTAATCTGTAAGTGTAAATATTAAGTTCCAATACCTTTTGTTCGCATTTACCCTGATTGACCCTAATTTCAAATTTTTTAAAATATGAAATTCTTGAAAATAATATTGGAAAAGTCCAAAATTCTTTTGAGAAATTTAATTGTTTTTAGAAAATAACATTACTCTCTAAATCTGAATAAGTGCATATCCACTTATTCATGTTTCAAAACTCTTCCACGTAAAAAATAAGTGCATAGGTATACACTTAAAATAAGTGAAATTTCACTTATGAGTAAGTTGAATTTCACTTATTTCAAGTGTATAATATGCACTTATTTTTTTACGTGGAAGAGTTTTGACTTATTCAGATTTAGAGAGAATTCTACAATAGTAAGACCACCTTAAATGTAGAGTTCAATGTTTAGAAAAAATAAATGAATATATTTACATTTTTAAACATTCATTTTATTAAATGTCAATTTCTATTCAATTGTATTTTGTTCCTCAAAAATTGTCAAAAATTAACATTAAAAATTTTATTTAGTAAATGAAAGATAAATAAAGTTTTTAATTAACTGAAATTTATAAATGATAAATCATTGATTTAAAAAAGCATTAAAGCCGTTCAAAAAATACATAATGCTTTTTCTTGAAAATTTTAATCCACTTTTCTTTACATTTACAAAATTTTCTCTTCAGACCTTCGCAATTAAGTAACCCCCCTTCTCTTAAAAGCGTTACGAATTTTTTTAAATGGTCCCATATGTAAAATACGACTTTTATATTTAAAAAACATTTTTCAACTATTTTTTACCATGTTCTGTACACTTTATTTCATTTGTGCGTAAGAATTTCTGAAACGTGCCACCTATAACTTGAAATTTTTTATTTTTTCCTGAATGTAGGCCTCGGATATTATGATTTTTTCGACTGTTTTCAAATAGTGCGACTTTTATCGACTTATATTAAAAAAATGCGAGTTTTGCGACTTTTTTTCCAAATTTTGCGACAAAATATCATATTTTTAGTATAAACTGCTGCAACTTTTTTCAATTTTTACGCGCATTATAAAAAATAGCTGTAGATAAATCTTTCAAAAATTATTTTTGAAAATTTTTTTTAATTCAATTTTTGAAATATACAATTAAAAAGATTTTGAATAATTGAAATTTAGTAGTAAAATTAATTGAAAATAAAATCCTTTTTTTCAAGTATTTTATTATAGTTTTTGAAAATTAACTATTATAGAATTTTTATTGAAAATTATGGAAATAATTGAATTTTTAAAATTTTAATGAATAATCTTCAAGTGTAAATTCGATAAAAAATGAAAATATTAACATAGTTTTGAAAAAAGTAATTCTCTGACAAAGTAATTTAAAATGTACTATTTTAGAATTTTTGAAAAATTATTTATAATTAAAATTCATCAAAAATTTGATTATTTTTAAAATATTTTTTAAAAACTCGATTTTTTATTTGCTTCATAAATTTATCAAAATTTAATTCTTTAAGGGAATTTTATCAAAATTCTTTGCAAAGTTCAATTATTTTCAGGAATTTTAATAAATTTTTTGTCTAAATACAATTTTCAGGAATTTTAAAAAAATTTATTGAAAAATTAAATTATTTTCATGAATTTTAATAAAACTTTTTGCAAAATTCTATTTTTTTCCAAAATTTTATGAAAATTTTAATTCATTTATAATTTTCATAAAACTTTTTGCAAAATTCAATTATTTTCAGAAATTTTATTAAAATTTTTGTCTAAATTCAGTTTTTAGGAATTTTATTAAAATTCGTTACAAAATTCAATTATTTTCAGAAATTTTATTAAAACTTTTCAGGACTCGGATTGTGCCACTTTTTCGACTTTTTTCGACTTTTTTGTGAAAAATGGGACTCATTGACTTTTTTCACATCTTTCAATTACTGTTTGACTTATAACAATTAAAGATGACCGAGTGATAAAATCATTATTTTATATTATAAGACTTTATGAAAGAAAATTTTTTAAAATTATTTTTTAAGAAAATAATTTAATTATTGCGAAGAAATTTTTAAAAAATTAGTAAGTAATTGAATTCCTGTGAAATTTTCTATATTTATGAAAATAATTAAATGCTTGCGTACAATTTTATTAAAATTTTTGCAAATAATTGAATGTCAGAGAAAAATTTTATTATTTATAAAGATAATTGAAATTTTGAACAGATTTAAAAAAAAAATTTTAAAAGTAAATTGTATTTTGCCCAAGAATATTGATATTTATAAAAATAATTGAAGTTTTGAGGAGATTTTAAAAAAAAATTTTGAAAATAATTGAATTTCTGCGAAGAATTATATTACATTTGAAGATAATTGAATTTTGCAAAGAATTTTATCAGAACTTTTAAAAATAATTAAATTTTCTGGGATGAATTTTATTATTTATGAAGATAATTAAAATTTTAAAGGGAAATTTAAAACAATTTTTGAAAATAATTGAATTATTTAAACAAATGATCATATTATTCTTAAAAATTATCGTAAAAAAATTTTTAAAAATGCGTTTTGATTTTCTGAACAACTGTATCGCTTTAAAAAAACCAAAAAAAATTTAAAAATTTTTTTTTGCAATTTAAACATTTTTAAAACATTAACAAATTAATTTAATAAATTTTTTTTATACAGTGTTAAAACTCAGGAAAAGAGCTTTAAAAAGAGAACTTTTTGAGCTTTTTATCTTTAATAATAAACAAAATATAAAACTTTTTGTAAACTGTTTAATCGCTGTAGGGTGGACAATAGTTATTAAGCGGCACTGTAATACTGTACATAATAAAAAAAGTAGTTATTATTTTCTTTTACTAAAGGTGAAGGAGAAAAATGTCTAAAAGACATAAAAACTTTTTGGATTTGAGTTTAAGACAAAAGCAGAGGCGGTTGCTTAATTTTCCAGCGAGAATTGAAAACAATTTTGTCCAAGAAGAGAATGACAAGAGACTTCATGAAGAACTAGAAGAGGAAAATTATGAAATTATTGAGCACGAAGACTGTGGAAGTTCTGACGTTCCTAGAGAACCTTTTGCTGGCGAAGAACCTGAAAATTATGAGCGTGATGATGATTTTTATGATTCTGATGATTTTTATGATGATGATGAGATTAATACTTACGAACATGCTGATGATTCTGATCAATCCGTCGATCCTGAAGAGCCTGATGATCCTGAAGAGCCTGATGATCCTGAAGAGCCTGATGATCCCGAAGAGCCTGATGATCCCGAAGAGCCTGGTTTACCTGAAAATCCTGGAAATTTTGGAAGAAGATTATTGAAAAATGCGTTTCTTGCCGCAGACTTGAAACACACTCAAGGAAACATCATTTTAAAAACATTAAGATCGCTTCCTTTTAATTTGATATTCTTACCTAAAGATACGAGGACGTTACTGAATACTCCTACGGATGTTGCTAGTAGACGTGTGGATCCGATAGTAGGTGGGGAGTACTTACACATCGGTTTGAAGGCAACTATAAAAAAAAGATTAGAAAAACTACCTCCTGATAAATTGCCACCATTTATTGAAATTGATTTGTCTACTGATGGTGCAAAAGTAGACAAAGGATTGAGTCAATTTTGGCCCCACCAATATTGCATTGTAAATATTGAGGATAAGAGACCAATAATCGCGGGAATTTATAGGGGAAAAACTAAACCGTCGAATGTTTACGATTTTTATGAAAAACTCGTTGCAGAGTTTGATGAAATCCGTCAAGATGGTGGTATTCAAATTAGGAATCAGCTGCTTCCATTAGTTGTCCGATCGCTTATTGCAGATGCTCCAGCTAGGGCTTTCATTTTAAATCATTATGGACACAACTCTGTGTATCCTTGTTCCAAATGTAAAGTGGAGGGTGAACGAATTGATGGAACAATGGTATTTTTAGGCCTGGATAATGTAGCGCGAACACATCGAGATTATGAACTTGCTGTTGATGACGATCACCATAAAGGTAGAAGTCCTTTAGTCGGTGTTTTAGATTTGGTCAAAAAAGTCCCATTCGAAATTATGCACTCAGTTTATTTAGGCACTGTAAAGAAGATTTTCACGGCAAAAATAGATGGGAAATTTGGACAGCAAAAATTACAAGTCAGAAGAATTAATATTCTTGATTCTAGGATGGAACAACTGGCATTATATTGTCCTACAGAATTTAATCGAAGGCCTAGAAAAATAAGCTTATATTCGCATTTCAAGGCAACTGAATTCCGACAGATGTTGCTTTATATTGCTCCTGCTGTACTAAAAGATGTCTTCGATCCAGATTATTATGAACATTTCATGATGCTTCAGTGTGCCTTGCGTCTTCTTGTTTCCAATGAAACGGATAGAGAATTCTATCATTTCTGCGAAGAACTTCTTCGGAGTTTCGTGACATTATCTGTTACTTTATACGGGGAAAAATTCATTTCCTACAATTTGCACTCAATGAGTCATTTGGTTGACGATGTTGAAGAGTTAGGACCATCAGAAAAATTTAGTGCGTTCCCTTATGAGAACAACATGACAACATTAAGAAAATTGATTCGAAAACCACATCTAACTCTTCAACAAGTTTACAAACGACTGTGTGAAAGAGACGAAACTTTTTATGCACCTGAAATTAACGAAATTAATATTCGGGCTTCGTTAAATCATGCAGATGGGCCTCTAACAGACGACATTGCTGCTGGACAGGTTTACCGACAATTTCATAAATTGGAAATAGGTAAATTCACAATTTCCACCAACTTGCGAGACAATTGTTGTGCCCTAGACGATGGAAGAATTGTCCTACTGGAAAATATTTTGCAAATGCAAAATACTTTTCTTCTCATTGTCAGGGAATTTAAATCAAAATTACCAGTTTATAACGTTGGATTGGAATCGGATGCGGTCGGTGTTTTCCAGTGTGAAAATCTAGCAGAAAGAGTAGAAGCAGTTGATTTGCGACATTTAAAAAATAAAATTTATAGAATGCCTCAATGGCGTAGCAGGGAAGGAGAGGAAGAACACATAATACAAAATAAGTGGATTTGTGTTCATTTATTGACACCAATAATTCTTCCTCAAATTTAAATTTCTTCTAAATTTGTGAGTAATAGATCATATATATAGCTAGTTGTGCTTTAACCTTCTTTGCACTATTTATGGATTTTAAAAAAAATTTACTCTCTTGGGTGTTTTGAATTTTTTGTTAAAAATAAAAATAGGGATTAATTTTATAAATATTGATAAAAATGTTTAGCATATATTTTTAACAATTCTTATGCCTTATTTTAGTTAATGGTGACCGGAACATACTTTCAAAATTTTACAATGATATATTCTAAACTGAATTCTTCAATATTAATCACTTAAAATTTACTGCATGTTTAAAAAAGTTACTTTTATATTAGACAATTTCCCTCATTTTAATAAATTGTCAAACGAATGTTACCAGATTTTAATTTTTTATATGAACATTTATTTCAGAATAATGGCTCATCTTGTTCAATTAAAAGGAAAAGAGAGATCGATGGCCAAAAGGGAAGTTAGAATTTCCAACAAAGGAAGACCTATCATAGCGCCTCACAAGCTTTTATCATCAGAGGATGAGGCACCAAAGAGAAAAAACAGTAAATCGACAACACAATTGAAAGCTGAGCTAAATAGGCTAAAAAGTGTTGCAGCAAAACGAGGGTTGCTTGAAAAACTTTCGTCAGAAGGAGATAAAAAGGAAGCAATTCAAAACAACGAAAATGAACCAAGTACAAGTTTATCATCAGATGTGCCTAAATCAAAAAGAATAAAAAGTAATACTTTGACTTTAACACCAATTGAACCGTCAATCGTTCCCACTCTGGATCAGCATGTGGAAAAAACAATCGAGAAACCCTTGATAAATACAACTGATACGTAAGTAAAAAATATTTTTTACTAAAAAGGAAAAATAAAAACACTCTGAAATTAACAGGATATTTACTCAGGGTTTCTACAGGTCAGGGAAAAGTTTTCGTTTGCTTTAAATTTTGAAATTACCAAGAATTTTCACGCAAAACCTTAAATAATTCTACTTTTGACAATAATTTAATTTTTGTGGAGTTACAAATAATAGCAATTTTTGGAAATTATTGAATTTTAAAAATGTTACAAATTAAAGTTTTTGAAAATCTTAATTCCAATTTAGTTAAAAATTCTAGAAAATAATTGAATTTTGGGGAAGTTACAAATAATAGCATTTTTAAAAAATAATTAAATTTTGAAAAGGATTCAAATTCAAATCTTAGTAAATTAAAATTTTTAATGTTTTTAATAAACAATTTTGTCCAACTAATATTTTTTTGAAATTAGTTAAATTACTTCCTCATAGAGGAAGTAATTTATATATTATAGTATTATTGTTATTAATTATTATAGTATATTTAATTGAACAATTTCTGAATAATCAAAATTTCGTATAATTGAATTGTAAACAAATGAATTTAAAAATTCCCAAAGAATTTATTCAAAAATTCTTAAAAGTACAGGCTTTACAGTCTATCCCCTAGTTCCCTAAAGGTCCCTTTTTTTAATTTTGTCCCCTAAACGTACCCTATTTGAAAATTTTCCCTAAATTTCCCCTATTTTTTCCGTCGCAGGATATCAATTGTTTTCAATATTTTTTAAGTAATTTTGCAAAAGAATTCAATTATCTTGATAACCAACAAAATTCTACCGATAAAATCAATTATTTTTAGAATTTTCACGAATTCAATTATTTTTATAAATTTATAATGAATATCTCGTCAAGAATTCAATTATAAATAACAAAATTCTTCACAGGAATTCAATTATTTCTATAAATTTTAATAAAATTCATTGCAAAATTCCATTACTTTTATAAATAACAATATTTATAACAAGAATTCAATTATCTTCAAAAATAATAAAATACTTTGAAGAAATTCAATTTTTTCAAATTTTAACGAATATCTCGTCATGAATTCAATTATCTTTACAAATAGCAAAAATTTTCCTAAAAATTATCTTTAAAAATTTAAATAAAATTCTTTTGCAAAATTTTAATTATTTTCAAAAGTTTTTCGCAATTTAATAATTTTCAATATTTACTATTTTCATAAAATGTATCAAAAGGTTTAATAATTATTGAAAAAAATAGAATAAAATTCTTTGCAAGAATAATTCAATTATTTTCATAGAAAACAAAATTCTTCAGAGACCTTCAATTATTTTTAGGAATTTTAATAAAATTCTTTGCAAAATTATTTACAAAAGTAATAAAATTCTTGGAAAAAATTCAATTATTTTTATAAATTCATAAGAATATTTCGTCAAGAATTCAATTAGCTTTATAAATAACAAATTTTATCGACAAAAATTTAATTATTTTTGTAAATTCATAAGAATATTTCGTCAAGAATTCAATTATCTTTATAAATAACAAATTTTATCGACAAAAATTTAATTATTTTCAAAATGTTAAATTAAATTCCTTTGCAAAATTTTAATTTTTTTCAAAACTTTTTCGCATATCTATAATTTTTAATATTTACCATTTAAAATATTGAAAAGAATTTTTTATACAATTCTACGAAAACATTCAATTATTTTTATAAATATTAAAATTTTATTTAGAAATTCAATTATTTACATTGCAATATTTTGAATAGAATTTTAAATAAACTCTTCGAAAAATGTAATTATTCTTAAAAATTTTATTAAAACTTGAAGAAAAATTCAATTTTAAGAAACATTCAATTATTCAATAAAATAATATATTTCGTTGCAATAATGCAAATATTTTTACCAATAATTTTTCATTAGTTGCAGAAAATCAATTATTTTTCAAAATTTTCAAAGTGATTCTGCAAAAAATTCCAATTATTTTGATAAACAACAAAATTGTTCCCATAAAATCAATTATTTTAATGAATTTTAATTCAATTCTTCTCAAAAATTGAAGTATTTTGATAAATATAAAAAGTTTATTATCAGAATTCAATTTTTTTAAAAGGAAATAAAATAATTTGCGGAAATTAAATTATTTTCATAATTTTTTAAAAATTATCGTCAAGAATTAAATTATCTTTATAAATAGATAGGGAAATTCTTCTCAAGAATTAAATAATTGCCAACAATTTTTTTTAAATTCTTCACAAGAATTCAATTATTCTGAAAAATTTTAGTAAATATCTTATCATGAATTCAATTGTTTTCAGAAATAATTAGAGAAATGAGGGAAAAGTCATGAAAAAAATTAAGTTTTTGTATCAACTATGTTACTAAATTTTGTTATTTGCATTCCTGGCTACTACCAGATTATTTAAATTAATAATAAATTAATTAATAAGCTTCATATTAAAAATAAATTATAAAGCAAATACTACTATTTTTCGAATAAAACCTTAAAGGGTATGTTTTTTAAAGAAAAAAAATTATGTTAGTTTAAATAAAGTATTTAAAAAATAATATTTTTTTGGTAATCAGAACATGATAGTTGTTCACTAGCGAAAAAAAATTAAATAAACTAGTGGTTTTTTGACACAAAACAAAATTTTGATAACTTTTTGACATTACGTCTTACTACCTGGATATTTCAGTTTTTTTTCAGCATTTTTTCGTTTCCTGCTTTGTATATACCCTGATTAAAGTTTATGTTTTCTTTTTAAGTCAAAAAATTAAAATCTACAAATTTAATTTGAAGCAAATTAAAGAAACTTAATTAAAAATAATTTATTATATTTTCAGATCAAAATGAAAACTGTTCTTTTCCATCGAATATTACAAAATTATTTTTTTTATTATATTTATTTTCCATTTATATAGGTTACAAACACCATTGATTATCGATCCAAATTTCCTTTTGAATGATTTGGAAATATTACAAAACCCTGTAGACTATTCTACAAATTTCCATAATATTGAGGAGGTTTTGCAAGAGACATCGAATCGTTTGAGGTATGTTACTACTAATATCCACTGATTAACTCACTAGATTCTAATTATTTCTTGAAATCTGTTTAACTTAAGAAATTTTACTGATTTAAAAAATGTATTTCCTAATTTTTTATTATCATTTTTTAAAAATCAATTATTTTCAATTATATAATTCCAAAAATTCAAAATATCTGCAAAAAATCATATTAGAATTTGTTTTTAAAATCTGATTTTTTTTAGAAATGTTGAGAATCTATATACCGAAATGTCGAATGACATAAAAAAAATCTACGAACAAAATCAAAAAATACTTCAAATCTTGGAAGGGAAAAAAAACTATGATGAAAGAAACCTTGGACGAACGTTATTTCAATCGCCTGAAGGTTTCCCTTTATCGAGTATGGAGGAATACGAAGACTTCAAAGTATCCGAGAATAATGAAATTATTGTGAATTTGGTAAGCTCTTCTATTACAAAATACATTTTTTAATTATGGAAAATTCGTTTTTTAATTTTCCGATCAAATTTTATTTCAGAAAAATCGATTGATTCAAATTGGCGGAACCAAACTGCGAGAATTTTTAAATTATGCGTTAAAGCAGTTAATGACTGATGAACTTGTGAGTCAATTTTCCTGGCCCGGAAGCATAAAGAGTGAGAAATTCGGAGACACTAAGATTTCCAATCTTCTCTTTGGTAAGTTTAACTTTTAATAGAGATTCATTCTTTGATCTACTTAATGGATTGTTAAACGAATGCTTGAATTTTGCAATATTACATACATTTTTCGTAGAATCTAGGAAAAATTAATTATTATGTTTATCATTAAAAAATACGTAAACTAAAATTTGTTCTTTAACATTAATTAAGTATATTAATCTTCATATTCTTTCATTAATTCTGTCCGCAGTTAGAAGTTACTTTTTATGTATGCTTTTGTTTTTTTTTCTTAAAAAAATATTATTTGACAAATCGAAAATATGCAGTTATTTTTTCATGACTTATAATAAAATAATATTATAAATTAGAAAATTTTTGTTTGTTGTATGCTTTTTTATATAACAAAATTCGTTTGACTCATCTAAATTATTATGCAAATTATTCTCCTTTTTATTTTTAAAAAATACTAAAAACTTGTTTATTGTTAAAAAATTTTTATTAAAAAGTAGGAAATATACCCATTTTATGCATAATTTTAATTTCTCAATAACAATATTGTTTACAAAATGATTTTTTTTTCTTTTGCAAAGAAAAGCATTATATATTCCTGTTTCTTAATATTTTTGTACAAAATTCTCACTTTCATAAGGAAATAATTTGCATCAATTATATTACTTAATTTCAATTGTTTTAATAAAATTCAAAGTTTTTAAAAATAAAGGAAAAAATGTTTATGAAATAGAGTTGTCAATTAGAAAATTTAATTGAAAAAGAAACTGAAAATTTTTTAATTTTTAGAAAAGAAAGAAAAAATTTTATTGAAAGAAATATTTGAAAACAATAAATTATTTTTTATATATTTTAAATATTTAATTATTATCCTTTTCACATAGGAATTGAAGGGCTACATGAAATAAGGGGACGAACGCATGGTTGAAAGGGATAGTATCAGTCAGGTAGCAGCGAGCGGCTCAAGGCTTGTCACTCCTACCCGACTGGTAGAGTCGAGCAATTCGAAAGTCGAAACTTCGAATTTTC